TTTATTTAAATAAAAATTAGTGCATTAAAAAAATAGGGTTAAATGTCGACAGCAAAAAAAAAAAAAAAAAAAAACCTAGGTAAGTACTTTATTTCTTGTTTCCCATATGTATTCTTTCTTTATTATAATAAAAGTAACTAATGTGTAAAAATAGGCAACTTTTTAGGTTAGATTAGGTAAAATAGATAAAAATAATAATGTAATACAAAATTTTCACAAAGCACGTCCATGGGTAATGTAATTTAACAGCCTAATGTGAGCTGCATGTTCCGTAAATGATTTACATTTACCACTTATATGGACATAAAATGTGATGACGTAACATTCATATGATGACACATGTGCGCTGGTTCTAAACAAAAAATGGCCAGGTGGTTAGGGCGCTCGACTCGCAATCTGAGTGTCGCGGGTTCGAATCCCCGTCACACCAAACATGCTCGCCCTTTCAGCTGTGGGGGCTTTATAATGTGACGGTCAATCCCACTATTCGTTGGAAAAAGAGTTAGCGGTGGGTGGTGATGACTAGCTGCCTTCCCTCTAGTCTTACACTGCTAAATTAGGGACGGCTGGCGCAGATAGCCCTCGTGTAGCTTTGCGCGTAATTCAAGAACAAACAAACAATCTAAACAAAAAACACGTGGTTAAAATCGTTATTATATTGCAAGGATTCAATACATAGTGCAGAGTTTTGCTGTCAAATGCAACCATAAAAGTGAAAGAGAGAGTTGTTAATTTTTAGATTTCTCATAGGACCATCAAAGAAGAATTATGCAGGGAAAGTACACAGAATAAATGTATTTTGAAAGCTGAGCACTGTCTGTTTCACAATACTCATAGAACCTAGCTAGCGGTAGGTCTGTTTGCTGCTCGTAGCCCACACACTACCTGTTATTTTGATCATTCGAAATGGAAATAAATATATATCTATTATTCTTCAATCTTGAAATACGCAATATTAATTCAATTGTTGAAGGACCGATAGGACAGCGAACACCAGATCGAGACTGTGCAGCTGTTACTTCAGAGAACATAAAAAAATGGTCTAACCATCTTCAACTGGAACATAAATCTTTTGACCAATTCCCAGAACCTAAAGAGTCGTGGAGAAGGTACATTATCTTTGAAATTATATAACTTTTTGTCAAATGTAAATAGATACGAGAATTTTTATTTACTACTCTAGCTATCTTCTAATACATTTCTCTAATTTTTATTTCAAAATGACATTCTGAGAGATTCCTCATGTTAGTTTTGAAGAAGCCAGCGTCAAATCTTCGTACAAAATAAATACATCAATTTCCGAATTGATTATCAAAATCGACAGAACTATTTTGGAACATGAAATCAGAGAAGTTAGAGGGAAAATACTGGAACAGGAGAAGGAGCTTACATATAAGAGGAGCCATTTTTCATATAATTCAATTAAGCAAGAAGATTGACTTGTAAACCATTATACAGGTTTACCCACTACAAATGACTTTGACTTGTTAAGTTTATACCGTCGCTTTAATTTCAATTATTATTATGGATGGACAGTCGACTGTATTTCTGATGAGAATCAGTTATTCATTACTCTGATGAATCTGCAATGAAATTTCAGCCACATTGATTTGTCGATTAGGATCACAATCTCTACCACCACTATAAGTAACATCATCCTGACATGGTTGCATGTCGGTATGATACAAGGGCGCCCCATACCATCAGTTGAGAAGAAGAAGAGCTGCTTTTCCACATTTAGCAGTTCCAGGATTATCTTGAACCGCACAGAGATCCAGTTTGACATACCATCCAACATGGAAGATCAACGTGTTACGTTTTTACATTACAAACAGCATAATACATTAAAGGATCTGGTTGAAGTAGAACCCAACAG